CCTACCATGAAGGAAGTCAGAAAGCATACAGTCCATCCCACAGGCAATCACTGGACCAGGCTAATGGAAGGGGAGCATCACAGGAGAAGGCAGCAGGGCACTGAAGACATGCCCACGGCATAAAAGGAACACCATGAGAAGAGGCAGGCATCCCGGTACTCTCAGATGTAGAATGCCAGAAACATCTAAAGGCTGGGGAAGAGGCTAGCAAACCCAACAGAATCATCTTTTTAAAAAACTGATGCCAGGCCCACCTGAGCAATTCTGAACCTAGGGCATTCCAATGAACCACACTTGGAATTCTGGTTTAGGGACTGAAATAAATAGCCCATAATCTAATCACTGAGCACACCATTTGAAACTATGACACCTGGCCACAAGGCAAACCAGGAGGCTGAAGCAAGAGAAACCTTGACAAAGAGCCAGGTGAAAATGCAGACAACCAACAAGGGTCATTGGGGGAGAAACAAATTGCCCCAGAGGGCTCTGCCTGAACCATCTGGCTCAGTGGAAACCTCCTCAATACTTAGACATCATTAACGAGACTGACTTTGCTCCAAGTCCCCTTGGTTAACAGCATCTCTGCAAAGGCTAATGGCGAGGTTGTCCCGTGTATCAGACATGGAACTGTCAGGAATCCCAAGAAAAAAATCAGCCCCCTCGTGTTCCTAGAGCTACACTACCCCTCTTCTAAGTGGGGAGCTTCTAAGAAAGGGAGGAGGATAGCTTGTGACCTACATGGGTAGGATCAGCTCCTACGTCTGAAATCTCTCTGCACTAAGTTCGGAAAGATACCTCTGTGATTTCCAGCTGATGACTGGTGATCAAGGTGGGGTTACTTAGCAGTACTCAGAGCTCATAATTCCTTCAAATGCTTCACAACTGCCTGCTGAGGGCACAGCATTGACCCTGTGAACTGCACCTTCCCCAGAGTGTTCCCAAACCAGGGAAGATCAAGTTGACAAATGCCCTCCTTTCAAATTTCATGATGGTTTAGAATGTTAGAACTGGCAGGTCCTTAGAGACCATCGAGTCTCCTTTCTGCTCCAGCTGAGGAAATTGAGACCCAGAGAAGGATGATTCTTGTCCAAGGTTACACAACGAGGAGGTCACAGGCCTGGGACTCCCAGCCTAGGGGACTTTCCTCTGGGGATACAGACATCTCACTGCCTCCTGAAACCTAGAAAACCTGCTAAAACTACCACTCTTTTTAATGGTCTATTTTTCACTTATTATAAATAAAACCAACATTTTCTGGCACTTACTCTTCCAGACACTTCTAGAAGGATCTCTATATATTAACCCATTGAATCCTCAAACCATCCTGAGGGGGTGGGTTATGATGATTATTCCTATTTTACTAAAGGGGAAACCCAGGTAATGAGGCTACACAGCCAGGACAAACCTGGGGCTGTCCAAGAAGATATTCTGGTTCCAGAGTCCCCATTCTTAGCCACTTTATAATCTAAAATTATTTTAAATTATAGTAAAGTAGAAAGGGAACACACCTTAAGCACAAAGGGCACGATCACTAGTGTTTGATAATGAACTCGAGCTAAGCATAGATTTCCTCAGTATCTGTTATATCTCTTGATCATCTATTAAGGGAATGTCTATACATTTGAAGCAAGTGTAAATCATTCATATCTTAAGCATTTTTAAAAGACAAAATGGTTATGTGCACACAGGTCAAATGAAGCTTGCCACTTGAAATAGGCAAGATGTTATTTAAGGCTTGGTTTAGAAGGGTCTTTTCTGGACACGCTACCATGCAAAGCAAAGGTAGTATTGCTCATCTCCACCTATGCTGGCCTTCCTTCATGAATACAAGATGTTTTCTTCTATTAAAAGGATCATTACTTTTACATTAACTTTCTACAGAATCAAACTTCAAGTTATGGAGAAAGAGCTTAAAAGAACCCACCTCTGAAGAATACACATCTTTAATAAAAGTGTTAAAAACAGAGATCACTGTAACAAATGCCCAATATACAATTACTTGCACTTTCCCTCATATTAAAAATGTCAAGTCTCATTATCTTGGTTATCCAAGAGAAGTAGTCCAGGAGCAATAATGGCAGAAATAAGCAAATTACAATTTTGCCTGAGATTAAATTACAGGGAAAATTGTTGTCAATTAAGAAGATACACTAGCACATGAAAGTTACATGACATTTTGCCAGCCAAATGTTTTAGTGTCAAGTGTGCAAGAGCTCACTCCAAATGTACTGGAACCTAAAAGCTGCAAAACCAGAAGAGTATTGCCTTAGATCTAAAATTCACAGTCTAGAGAATTAAATCAAAGTACCAGACACATTGTAGGCCCTCAATAAAGATGTGTTGAATATAAGTGAAAATGTTCAAAGAGGAGCATGATAGACACTGTCAAAATAGCAGAACAGCAGAGTGACACTGCTTTAAGCTTTTGAGAACTTTTTAACACCAGAATAACAATCAAAGAACTAAGGATTACAGAGATTGAACAAAACGACAGTGCCATGCAATCAGGGCAAATTGTTCTGTAGTATAGGAGCTGACCTGTACTCAGACAGTTATTTCCAAGCCCAGCTTTGCTTAAGTAAGGAATCTGGACTCAAGCCCTCCAGGGTAGCATAATATTTACAGTACAACTCTACATGGCAAAATTCCCTGATTTGGTACATTTCAAGTATAACACTGTTTTAATTTAGAACTCTCAATAGGAGTTGCCAGCTTGACCCATCTCTTCATGACAAATCTTAAGGTCACAGGAAAAAAACATCCTATAGCTTCTCTGCTCCCCTAAAGCTGCATACACAGAAATGCAGTTAGACAAAACCTACATAAACCAGATCTGTCATATCTGATTAGTAAATTAAATATAATTCCAGTCACCCTGTGAATCTGAAATTAACTGGGCCCTGTGCAGTACCATCCTAGCCATGCCTTAACTATAAAGAGTTTTCCAACATTTATATCCTAAGTCTCTTTCCTGTAAAGTCAGCACTTGCTCAAACTGTCAGGATTTGAGTTGGAGCTAAAGAAATAATAGAGTAGTTACCAATTTTGTACAGAAAGCTCAACATGAAGTAAGACTATATTCTTCTCCTTGTTTTGATACGTATTTAGAACACATTTCCTTTTCTCAAATGGTATATACTAAAGAAGGTCATGTATCAGCTCACCTGAAATTCCTGCCCAATTTAAATCTTAGCCACACTTCTTACAAGAGCACAATGAGAAAATATTCTGAATTCTGCAGTGCTCACGCTTTTAAAATGGTGTGAAACCTAAGTGAAGTCCCTGATGAAATTTCATAGAGCCTTAGTTACCAACCACTGTTTTCCTCTTTAAGGATTTGTAAACTGCTTAAAGGACAGGACAGGTACTTCAAAGGAAAGTCTAATGACACACCTGTTACATAACCTGTTCTTGGTTGGCCAGGTTATATGGTTTTGATAAGCAAAACAGTCAAAAGTAGGACAAACACTGATTCTCTATTCTCCATTCTCCCATTAGCCAGAACATTTATCTGAGTCTGACACCCAGTAGCTAGCTCTGTGCCTCAATTTCCCTAACCACTAAATAGGAGGCCAATGCTATCCAAGTTCCTAACTTATCAAAGTTAATGAGCACAATAGTCATGTAGAATATCCACATCAGAATATTATATTGAAACACTGTTGAATAAGAAAATTCCAAAGGTCTTTGCATTACTCTTTTCCTCCAAATACTCCAGAGGTGTTACATGGCCATGTATCAAGATTAGGCAAACACTTGTTTGCTTTAAGGATGTGTATATAAAAATCCAGGACAGATATACAGAAACCTTCCCAGATAAAGTAATACGTGCTTGGATTGTCATGGGAAAAAAAGGACCAACCCCCAAAACCTAACAAGGACAAGTCTTCGATTTCGTTTTTCTTGTGAAAAGAATTTTGCTTCCCCTGACAGTTTCAGGGCTGCAGAACACATTGGTGACAAAGCTTCAGAAAACCAGGGACCCCCACAGGGCCACAGGTTATTTCTAAATGTCTTACTTCACACTTCTGACCCAATCAGTGCGGGTCTGGTAGTAAACCTCCATAACCCTGAGTCTGCACTGGTTTGTCTAGACCAGGCAAGGGTCAATGAGAGGAGCTACGCAAACACAGATGTTGCTGCCTTTCCCCAACCCACCCAGCTGTAACCAATGGGGAGACGCTGCGGGTTCCTAGGGAGGCAGACGGATTCTCTCCTGGAAATCTAATTGGTATCTGGGAAACCAGAGCTGGGTCTCCAAGGTGGCCCGAGCACCCAGCTTCCACATAGCCCTTAACAGATGAGGATGCCTCCCTGACCAAGCGTAGGCCAGTCATTATGTCCCCTGCGGAAACTCCAAGCAAGAGCAGGTTAGGGTACCACCACCCACATTTCAGGCATTCACGGGGCAAACGAATCCAGAGAATAAGCATAAAGGAGCCCGACGGAATCTAACCGCCTGTCCTAAAACCAAGATTCTGTAGATACCTTTTAAAATACAGCAAATGCCTCCACACGAAAGAAACGTTAGTGCCTGTGTCCTGAGCTTGCGCTTGGTCTGCACTCTGGGGAAGCGGCCCTGCCAAACACCATCGGGGCCCCAGTCACCGATGGGCAGGACGAACCCCAGCTTTGCAGGCTCTCCCTTCACCGCAGGAGCGCATTTCCCTGGCGTCCGAAGGGCACGGGCCAGGCTTCCACTAGCCCACCCCGGCGCGGGGCCAGAGGGGGAGGGGGCGAGGAGGGACCGCGCCGCCCGAGCCCCCGCGCGCCGGAGCTGCGCAGCCCTCTGCACTTGTTGCCGAGCCCGCGGGACCGGGAGGCGGTGGCCTCCTTCCCGCCTTGGAGCCCTCACTACACCCCTTTCCCGCCTCCGCTGACCCTCGCGCCCCCCGGACCCTGAAAGTACCACCGCTATAGCGAAGTTGGGCGAGGTGGCCAAACTTTTCCGTCCAGGGCTGCAGAGCGACGCGAGGGGTGGAGCCCCGAAGAGCACTTACCTGGAGCTGTGGCCCCCGCAGCCTCCGGAGCCCAAGCGAGGCGCTGCCCCCCGCGCCCTGCCCCACGGCGTCCGGAACGCGCCCCCAACCGCCGCCGCCAGGAGCCGGGACGGCTCTCCGTGAGGCTGCTAACGCCCGGCGGCTGCACGGCCCGGGCCAACGCGGAGGGGCGGAGCCGCCGTCGCGCTCCCGGGCCCGGCTGGCTGCGCCCGCAGCTGGGGCCGCCCCCACTCCTCCGCGCCTGCCGGCTGCCACTGGATCCCCGGCTGCCCACCTCCCGGCCCCGGCATCACATGGCCAGGCCTGCCCGCCGCCGCGCCCGACACGGGCTCCAGGAGGAAACCTGACGCTGCCCGACCGCGCTGTCTCCGCGGGCCCCCTCCCGCCGCTGGGCGGCGGCCGGCTCGCCTCGGCTTCCCTCCCCTAGCAGGGAGCGTCCAGACGGGCGGAGGCTGGCGCGGCCCTACCCGGCCTGAGGAGGGCGAGGTTCCGCCCTGGCCCCCCACGGGCCTCGCTTTGGTGCCGCCGGAAGAAGGAGCCGGCCTGCCCGCTCGGGGGAGGGGTTGTGCCAGGCCCCGGGGAGGCTCAGGCTGTACTCAGCCAAAAGCCACCGCACCTGGGATATAGAATGGCCCAAGTGCTACGTAAAAATCAGCAGGCGCCCTTACTTATTCAGGCTCCTGTTCCTCTGACACAGAGCTTGCGAGCGGCGCCACGCTCTGCGCTCACATACATGCAAGTGGCTCCATTAGGAGTCACTAATTTCAAAATTCTCAAGAAAACCACAACCTGCTTTTACAATGAACAGTGTGAGAGGGACTCTCTTACCATCCAGTGAGCTTTTCCAGGTAGAACTGAAGCAACTCCAACCAGTGAGCTTCTCTATCACCCAGACCTTCATAAAACAGACTCCAGAAAAATTACAGTAGCTTTAGAAGCAAAATTACTGATTTGACTTTTTTTAATAATCACCATGCATCTTGCAAAGACCTGCCTTCCACAAAACCAGGACAGGGGTTAGCCCCAGGAAGCTGGCCCCAAAACAAAGAGCCAGAATTTCCCCAGCATCACCAATACCTCTCCCAGGCGTCGGCCGTTTCTGGGCCCCTTCCTGTTCTCTCCTTGTGCAGCCCACCTCGCTGTTATAGCTACTGAGAAGGAGAGCAAAGCTGAGGAAAAGTGGAAGAAAACACATACTGTATCCGAAGTCTTTAGTCCTGTTCCAAGGCAAAGGTCTGGCGTTCTGCCTTAATAAAGCCTTAATAAAGGGGCCCCAAATTGGCATTGCACTCCTGACACCACCCCCCTCCACCCCATGCTGCAATCCCAGCTGATACTATTTCACACAGCTGTGAACCTAAGGCCTGGCCTCAGACACTGCCTTCTAAAGGAAAAGTTCCTGTCTACTGCCAGGATGTCAAGGTACTCAAGATAAAAATTAAAACAATATATTCTTTTCAAAAATAAACAATCTTTCCAATCCTAAAATTAGAGATTAACTGAATCAACACCCCAGACAAAAATGGTGTCCAAACTCTGGTGAGCAAAAACATTGATGTGTTAGTGGCCTTTGTTATTATTCTCCTTTTCACATCACTAGTATTGAATCACTATCTATTTTCTTCTTTCTTTCTTGCCTTTTTCCTTTTCTTTTTCATTAACTCTGGCAGATATGTAGATCTAAAAATATAAGAAAATGTGGAGAAGCAACAGGTATAAGAAGTTACCCCCAAAGGCCTACCCCCTCAAAAGAAACAAACAAAACTAGTAATTGTGGAACCTCACCAGCTGAGGACATACAATCATGCAACCTGCAGTTTTCTTTCTTCTCCCAAGAACTGAGTTTGATCAATATTTAAGTAAGAATTGGCTTTCAACTTCTCTAGGTTCAAATATTAAGCAAAGTGTACTCTAAACCTTAAAAGAAGCCTGTGAATGTATGAGGCAAGAGCCTTTCAGTTGTGTAAATAATCCTTCGTATCTGATTGACTTTGCTGCTCCAGATATAGGTCACTCAGGACACAGATAGTGCAAGCTTGGCTAGGACAGCATTTGTTTAGAATTCAAAGACAACCTATTCTCAGTCCCCAGACAAGAGACATTCAGCCAACAAGAAATCAGGTTGGCAATTCAACTGGGAACATTATAATTTCCTAGTGAGTATTACACCAGGGTCCTGGCTCAGCTCTGGCTTTTCTAGTTATTCAGTCTTTATTCATCCCATTGCTTTCAGACAGACCTCCTCCATAAATCTGACTTAATTGTCCTGGTTTCTGCCAGCCTCTGAACTTTGACAAGGCTTAATGACCTTACCACAAAATTGAGCACCTGATTATATTCACCGTCATATGTTGGGATATTCTAAGTTCTTATACACTCTTGAACTTGACATTTCAAGGACAGAGATTGTTTCTTCTAGTAATCTCCATGATCGTAACACAGGGTACTTCTGGAGTATTTAATATTTGTGTGGACACTAGCTCTAGAGTATTTAGTATTTTTTAAGTAAGCTATCACTTCAGTTATGCAGGAAGGGAAATGTATATCACAATTTTCAAACTTTTCTTTAATGGATTATAACTGCCCCTAAATTTTATTATCTACTTAATTCTTTCCTGTTCTTCATTCTATTTCCTTTGCCAATAATTCCCAAAGATTGAATCATTATAAATCTATGTTTGGCTATAAGAGTTAGAAAATTACTGGTGTTTCCTAAATAAAGTATATGATACTAGAAGACAATAAATTTAGGTTAGGGGAGTGGTAGGGTGGTTGGGGATGCAAGCCACTAGGGGTTGCGGAGATGGACAAGTTTTGAAATTAGAAATATGACAACCTGGGGAAGATCCAACCCTTATAAGCCTCCATTCCCTCATCTGCAAAATGAGCATAAGAATAGTATTTACTATCATTGTGAAGATTAAATGACCAAAGGTGATTATGGGACACATAATAAGGATGCAAGAAGTGATGGCAATTAATGTTTCAGAATATAGATATATTAGAAAAACACTTCCAAGCTTTGAGATAAGTAACAGAGGATATCAGACTCCAAGGTATGAAATTAGTTCTGGATTATGCACTTGGCTGTTCAGGTTGAGGATGTCAGGGAACACAGAGGAAAAATACCAACGTGATCAATACCAGGGAACAAATTTGGTGGGGAAACGCTCACAGTTCTTATTTCTGGATACACATTAGCACCACCTGGGAAGCTTTTTAAAAAAGCAAAATAAACATTGATTACCACAATCCCACCCCAGACCAGTATTTCAGAATCTCTAGGAGATGGGGCCCACATGTTGCTTTTTAAAGATCCCCATTATTCCAATGGTCCACCAAAGTTGGTAACAGCTGGACTAAAGGAACTAAATTTATTGTCACTGGAGAAAGGAGAGAAACTCAATTATATGAGATTCTTCCATTTGTCCTAATGATGAACAGTCCAGTTTAAATTGCAGGCCAGTGGTGCTTCAGTGCATTGTGCATATGAGTCACCTGGAGGGCTTGTAAGAATGTAAATTCTGACTCAGTATCAGATGGAGGCTGATACTAGGCCTGACAAGCTCCAGGTGGTCCAATGTGCTTGTAGGTGGACCATACCCTGAGTAGCAAAATAATAGATTCAAGATGGACATTAGGAACAAAGAGTAGAGAAATAGTTAAATTGTTACAAGAGAAGTCTTGACATCTCTGAATATTTTTAATCAATATTTATTGTGTACCAACTATGCATGAAACAAATTCTGCAACCTTTTAAGAAAGGAACAGGCCATTGCCAACCAGTTTTAAGTGTAAGAGCTTCCCTAAAAGGAAGGTACAGACTCTCCAACAGGGCAGACTTCTCCACCAAGCACAACAGTGCACAGGGCCAACAACACTCCTAGGGACCAAAGAAAATGTTTTAATTTTTCTTAATCAGAAGGAAAAAGATGAACTTCTAGGTCAAAGAAAATATTTTGATATATAATGTCAATATATTTGTCTTTATAACCATGGAGTAGTAAAATACTATTTTATCTTATTTTTTAAACAGGAAGGAACCCAGGGAGGCAAGATTGCCTCGGAACCACAGTACTGACAACGTGGTGGCTGAGTGCTCAGAGTTCCCTTTAGTCCTAAGCTTTTTTAGGAAAGTACGTCACAACTACTGTGGCTGATATTTGCATGTATGTTATTTACATGAACAACAGGAAGATATTGGGGAAGATATAAGTTGCCTCTTGAATGAAGCCAGCCTTGTAAATACACAGAGTTCATCACTTCCCATGTCTGTGATTTGAGGAACACAGGGAATGCCCCATTAACCAAAAGTTGTTCCTCTTCAGCTGATTCCTGAGGCTCTGAAATTCTACCATTATTTTATGCCACCTCCAAAGCTAGTCTTTAGAGATTCACACTATGTAGAAACCCTCCCTTGGTAACACTGACCTTTCAGGCCCAATTCTTTTTACCCTTCAGATCCAGGACTACATCTCAGGAACTTCTCTGGGAATTTTCTTTGAAAAGAAAACATAATGATGAGATTTCATTTTATAGGAAACATCAATGTCAATCAATTCCTAAAAACTGAGATGTGGCCATTCATGGCTAAACAACCTCACTGTCATCACTACTGTCCAATGCAGTAACCTCAACAAAAATTAATGATTGTTTCATTGTCTGCCATGATAGCCATTAGTCACATTTGGCTATTTAAATTTAAATTAAGTAAAATTTAAATATCATTTCCTCATTGCATTAACCACTTTTTAAGTGCTCAATAGCCACGTGTTCATATTGGACAACAGATACAGAACACCTCCATCATTGCAGAAAGTTCTGTTGAACAGTGCTGTTTCAAAAAGTTTTGATAGAGATAGGACCACACTTCCTGGCCCTTTTGAAATGCAAGACTAGTTTGGGAATTATGTAGACTCTAAGTAACACAGGCACATTTTTTTCTTCCTGCTTGTCAGCTGATCTACAACACAGACAATCAGTTCCTCTGCTCTTCCCTAAGTTTCCCAAAGCAAACTTTCTAGGAAGCCAACTTTTTGTTGATACTCCCTACCCTTTGAGAAAAGCCAGATCTTTTTGACTTGTGAAGGGGCCAGTAAATCCTATCTTGATCCACCCAAGGAACTGCAGAGGTGCTTCCCAAAATCTAGAACAGTCTTCATATCAGCAAGTGATTGTTTATTTACATCCCTGGTTGGTTGGATTTTTCCTTG